CCCCGCCCGCGTCCTGTGCAAACTCTCACTGCAGGAGGCCGTGGAGGCCGGCGCCGGACCTCCCGCCGCCTCGGCCGGCGGGGGGGCGGGACTTCCGGGGGACGCCACTCGCCAATCCCTGAGCGAAGGGGGCAGGCCCCGCCCACCCCCTTGGTACGGCCTGCTCCGGGCCTCCCAGGGGCGGGGCTTCCCGGGGGTGGAGCCTCCCGTGGGCGTGGTTTCCCGGGGGCGGTGCCTCCAGTGGGCGTGGTTTCCCGGGGCGTGGCCAGCTCAGCGAGCCTCTCCAGGGTTGTACTCCGTCTCCCCCGAGGACACCTGGGAGATGCGCCTGGAGGATCGCCACAGCTTCCGGGCGAACTGGCTGCTGCGCACCTGGGGGGGGGGATGGGAGGGATGTGGGGTAAGTCATCGGGACCTGCTGGGTTTGGGGGACACACACACACTCCTCTCCCGTCACCCACCCCTTTTCCTGCTGGGTTTGGGGGGACACACACACCCCTCTCCCATCACCCACCCCTTTTCCTGCTGGGTTTTGGGGACACATACACACCCCTCTCCCATCACCCACCCCTTTTCCTGCTGGGTTTTGGGGGGACACACACACACCCTTCTCCCATCATCCACCCCTTTTTCTGCTGGGTTTTGGGGACACATACATAAACCCCCCTCTCCCATCACCCACCCCTTTTCCTGCTGGGGACACACACACACCCCTCCCTCACCCCCCGCTCCTCACCTCGGAAGGCTGCCCAGCGCCCACCACGATCAGCTTGCCATCTTCCAGGCCCACCAGCACGTGGCTGCTCTCCTTGGTCACGGCCAGGCTGCGGACTGGTACTTTCATGGGCAGGGGAGGTGCGGCGGGGTTCAGCCTGGGGGGGGGGAGAGGACAGGGGAAGAAAAGGCCCATCCATGACCCTCTCTCCATCTCCTGTCCTCATCACTGAGCGGAACACTTGAATCACCACCCAGGGCCACGTTTCCCCCCTCCACCGGGGATCTAGGCACCGGTGGGTGGCCCTGGGCACCTACACAGGATTTATAGGCCCGACAGAGTGCTACCAACCACCAGGAACTGGTAGACGTGGGGAGGGGGGGCTCACTTGTTCAGATGGAGGATGTGCAGGGCGCATTGAGCCGTGCCCAGCAACACGAAGTCCTCCATCACGGTCAGGGCTGTGGGCTGCTCCGTCAGGGGCAGTGAGGCCCGCAGCCTCCCATTCACCGAGTAAAGGTGCAGGGTATAGGCCACCTAGGGAGGGCAGGCCGTATCAGCAACTTGCTCCCCTTCTTCCCCTGCCCCCCCTCCCAGCACTGGTCCAACTATCCCCATTGTTCTGTGTGAGCAGGGATTTCCACCCCCCCCCCTTTTTTTTGCCCATACCTGAGCCCCAGGACGCTCCCAGGCTGAGCTCTGTACCACAATCTGGCCTTCAGACCCCAGGGCCAGATGGGACACGGGGCCAGGCAGGGTGGCACCCGGTGGCTGGAGCGCTGCAACGAACTGGCCACGGCGGACAGTGTGGATGATCACAGTTCCATCCTGAGAAAAAAAGCCACCTTAGGATGCTGGGCAGGAGGTAGGGGGGAGAAGGGGGGGTGTTGAAAACAACAGGTACACAGTACCCCCTTAGCAAACAGCCAGGGGGATCCCCGATGTGTACGAACCTCCGATCCAGACACCGCCATGTCAAGTTCCGTGTTGATGGCCACACAGCTCACGGCAGCCTTGTGGCCATAAAGGACCTGCACGGGTTTGGGTGCCAGCCCTACTGACAGACCACCCTGTAAGGAAGCGGATGCGCTTAGGACCGGCCCTGGAATAAGGCCAAGGGTCAGGTGCTGGTGGCTCAGGCCTGTCATCCTAGCTACTCAGGAGGCTGAGATCTGAGGATCGCGGTTCCAAGCCAGCCCGGGCAGGAAAGTCTGTGCGACTTGTATGTCCAATAACCCACCCCCGTCAGCCATACCTGCTGTAAAAGCCGCCACACCATGCACGTGGTGTCCTTGGAGCCGGAGATGAGGTAGATGCCGAAGGTATCCAGCGCCAGGCAGGTGATCACGTCTTCATGGAGAAGGGGGAAGGCCAGACATGGGCAGAAGGGTCACTATACCCACCTGACAGCCTCAGGGCGCCCCCCCTGTACCCCCATTCCAACTGCCTCATTCTCCCCAATGCCCAGAGGCTGCTCCTACCAAGATGGCGGCTGAGCTGGTTCAACAGCTTGCCCCGAGGTAGTGCGGTCACTCGCAGGCTTCCGTCCCAGTGGCCGCCGCTGAAGAGCAGTTTCCCGTCGGGGGCCACGGCCAGTGCATGCGCACTCACGCCACAGGGACCACTCAAGACCCGTTGCATCCTGGGAGCCACAGTAAGGAAGAGGGTTAAATGCGGTTGGACCCTACAAAGAGAACCTGGGTCCCATGGGGGGGAACCTTGGGAAGTGTCTCCCCCCCCAAGATTGCTGCTGCCCTGGGGGACACAGGATTTGCCCATCCCCCACGCCACAGCCTACTTGGGGTTGCCCAGCGTCGGGTCTTTGCTGAAACTGAAGTAGTTGTTTATGTTGCGGTCGTAGGGTAACCAGCTGTGGGTGCCCAGCACCCCACTAGCACTCACGGTCACCTGTGGGTGGGAGGGAGGGGACACGCAGGCGTTTGAGGACGGAGGGGGACGGGGAGAAAGGAGAGTGTGGATGGATGGAGCTCAGGTCGGGCGTGATCCAGGAGACTTACCAACAAATCCGAGGAGCCCTGGATAAGGAAGGAGTGGGGCTGTCGGTGGGGGACCAGGGCCAGCACCAAAGGTACACCCTCGCTGACCACCTGCGGGGAAACAGAGCCAGGGCTGAAGGCCCATCAGGAGTACCCACAATGCAATCTGCGAAGCCTCCAAGCCCTCTAGCCCCCAGGGGTGGGGGGGGGAGGGTGGTCTCAGACTAGTGGGCGGAGCATAGAAGACCCCTTCGAGGTATCAAGTTCGGATGGGTTTCACACCCATGATCCAGAAGACCATGGTTCAAAGCCAGCCTTATCTCTCTTTTTTCGGTTGTGGGGCTTGAACTCTGGGCCTGGGCGCTGTCCCTGAGCTCTTCAGCTCAAGGCCGAGCGCTCTACCACTTGAGCCACAGCGCCACCTCTGGTGGTTCATTGGAGATCAGAGTCTCATGGATTTTCCTTGCCCGGGCTGGCTTTGAAACACGATCCTCCAGATCTCAGCCTCCTGAGTAGCCAAGATGACAGGCGTGAGCCACCAGCGCCCGGCTCCAAGATGCCTTCAAATCTGTGACCTCAGAAGTGAAATCAACCCTTCTTCCGAGAGGCGAGGAGGTCACAGGAGCTAACCCAGGCAAATGCGGAGGCCCAAAGTGTCACTCACCTCCGCAAAGAAGGCCTTGAGCTGGTCCAGGTGCTGGAAGATGCTTGGTGAGTTAGTGTCCAGGCGTGCAAGGCGTTGAGCTGCTTCCTCAGCCGAGAGCCGGGCTGGGTGTGGCTCCTGTGAATGCGGGGACTGCTCAGCACCCAGGGCACAGGCATCTTGGGGACCCCCCTGCCCACCCCCCACCCCATCCTCCACGCTGGCCTTACTTTCAGCAGCTGACAGGGAGTCTGCCCAAAGTTGCTGATGATACCTTCCAGAGCCTTCCGTTCCCGCTCGTCTGCCACGTGATCCAGGTCTACGGCCCCTGGGAGGGAGATCAGAAGGTCCCTGAGCTCTTCAGCTCAAGGCGAGCGCTCTACCACTTGAGCCGCAGCACCACTTCTGGGTTTGTGGTGGTTCACTGGAGATCAGAGTCTCACAGCCTTTCCTGCCCAGGCTGGTTTTGAACCGCGATCCTCTAGATCTCAGCCTCCTGAGTAGCTAGGATGACAGGTGTAAGCCACAGGCGCCTGGCTTTATCTGTGTCTTCTGATGAGCCCTCCCTTCCTCCCCCTGCACTACGCCAGGCCCCCATGGGCAGCATTCTGCCTTACCTTCATAAGTGCAGTAATAGAACACATTGAGGGCCTCTTCGGCTGCCGGCCCGCGCTGCTTGTAGCCAAAGATGAGGTCGATCCACTCGTGCAGGTGCGCAGACACATATTCCGACTCCTGATTGGACAAAGACAGCTGATGCTCCACCCACCTCCCTCCACCACCTCCCTGAGCCCTGGCGGCCCCGCCTTTCTGGGTGTGGTCACCTCCTCACCAGAGCCCGGCGGTGCTGCTGGATGAAGTCCTCAGGAGAGCTGGCCCATGGGGGTAACACCACGTCGCCCACCTTCTCATTGGTCAGCTGCAGGCAGCCCAGGTCAAAGCCTGGCAGAGGAGCGAGTCGGATGGATCTCTGGGTAGATTCTCCATCCCCTGTGCACTCTGCCCCAACTCCCCCCACCCCCCATCTCAGTGGCCAGCTCCCAGCATGCACCATACCATTCTGGTTCTCCAGGAAGTCAGGGAAGTAGAAGAACTCGGGGATGAGTTCCTTCACATCGGCGGGACTCTCCAGCCGGGCCTGCCAGGCGGCCGCCACTGAGTGGAACTGCCGATCGGAGCAGTCGAAGCTGGCAGAGAGGGGGTACAGCCGTGGTGAGGGAGAAGGTGTGGCAGGAAGAGGGGGTTATGCAGGGAGGGTGGAGGCTCTCGCCTGTCATCCTAGCTACTCAGAGGCTGAGATCTGACGATCAGCGTCTGAAGCCAACCCAGATAAGAAAAAGCCAATGAGACTCTGCTCTCCAATTAGCCAGCCAAAAGCCAGAAGTGGACTTGTGGCTCAGGTGGTAGAGTGCCAGCCTTGAGCAAAAGTGCTCCGGGAGAGTGCTCCAGGCCCCAAGTTCAAGCCCCAGGCCTGGCCAAGATAAAAATAAAAAAAATCACCAGGGGCTGGTGGCTCACAACCTGTCACCCTAGCTCTTCAGGAGGCTGAGATCTGAGGATCGTGGTTCAAAGCCAGCCCAGGCAGGAAAGGCAGTGAGACTCTTATCTCCAGTGAACCACCAGAAAACCGGAAGTGGCGCTCTAGCAGAGCATGAGCCTTGAGCAAAAGAGCTCAGCGACAGCGCCCAGGTGCTGAGTTCAAGCCCACAGCCAACCAAAAAAGAAAGGGCTTTCCTTCTTCCCATGATGAGTCTCCCTCCTGCGCCCCCCAATCCCTGCCAGACTCTCCTGAGCATACCGGCCACTCTGTAGCTGGACGTGCAGAGAGGTGAAAGGCTCCACACGGATGAGGTAGTGCATTACGCCCGCGGCGTTGGAGTAATGGGTGCCGTAATGGAATTTGTCGATAGTGCCAGCTGGGTCCTCGAAGCTCTCGTACCTGGGGGGGAGGGGGAGGGTCCCAGGGAGGAAGTGATCCACAGAAACCCTCCTCTGGTCCAGCTCCAACCCACCCACCCAGCCTGCTGCCCCCCCCCCTCTATTCCCCTGCTCACTTCTCCCTCACGAGCTGCGCATGCTTGGGATTCACCACGCCGATGGGTTTGGACAGGTCCCGGAAGACGGCCGGGTTGCTGAGGTCCAGGGTTAGTGACACATAGTCCTGTAAAACCCAGGGGAACTGGCCGGCCCACCCCGGGGAAGGAGCTGGGTGAGGGTCTTCCCTAGCTGGCCAGCTCCAGCCTGCCTCTCACTCCTTAGAAAAGAGGGGCACCAATGGGCTGGAAGGTGGCTCAGTGGTAGAGTGCTCTCGCCTAGCCATGCGTGAAGCCCTGGGTTTGATTCCTCAGTATCACACACGCTGAAAAAGCTGGTCATGGTGCTGTGGCTCAAGTGGTAGAGCACTAGCCTTGAGTACAAGATGCTCAGGGACAGCACCCAGGCCCTGAGTTCAAGCCCCAGGACTGGCAAAAAAAAAAAAAAAAAAAGATGGAAGGAAGGAAGGAAGGAAGGAAAAGATGGGCATGTAGCTTGCTAACAAGACAGGCCAGGGAGACACCATTTGGAAGGGCAGCCAGGGGAATTTAGACTCCTTTCCTGACTTTCCAAGATGGACATCCCCAATAAGATCTGGGAGGAAGAGGGGAGAAGGGACTCAGGGTTTTGATGGGGGGGGGCGGGGCAAGGTGCCAGGGAACAGAGGCCCGATCTTAAAGGCAAACAACTGACTCAGGAGTGGGTTCCTACCCTTGACAGAAAGCAAGGGCCTGAGGGAGGGAAGGGGTGGGGGGAAGGGGGGCAGAATGGGGTCCTCACCACGGGGTACTGAGACAGGTCATTGTAGGTGCGCCCTGCAATGGTATTCAGTTGCATCAAGTACTCGAAGTTGGAGATCTCTCGCTGGACCCATTTCTAAGAGAGCAGAGGTTAGACGTGATTCCCCCACCCCATTTATTTATTTGTTTGTTTTTGTCGGTCGTGGGGCTTGAACTCTGGGCCTGGGCGCTGTCCCTCAGCTCTTCAGCTCAAGGCTGGCGCTCTACCACTTGGGCCACAGCGCCACTTCCAGTTTCCTGGTGGTTCATTGGAAGTAAGAATCTCACAGCCTTTCCTGCCCAGGCTGGCTTTGAACTGCGATCCTCAGATCTCAGCCTCCTGAGTAGCTAGGATGTCAGGCGTGAGCCACCAGCGCCGGGCTCCCACCCCATTTTTTAAGTACCCCGATTTCAGATTCACCCCTTCTATGTGCATGCCCCCCCCTCCCCAGCCCCGCCTCCCACAGTGAAGGTCAGCATGCATCTTCCCACCTGGGTGAGCCCCGAGGCCCGCAGCATCTCCTGAGGTGAGCGGCTGCTGAGGTAGCCCTGGCTGGGCGGGCGCAGGCGCAGAAGCCAAGAGTACACCTGGTTGCGGATGTGGGTATGCGGCGGGCTGGGGTAGGGGGGAGATCCGGATCCAGACCCAGCAGCAGCGGGGGCCTTGCAGGGGAAGTTGAGGAAGTAGTTGGACTGATCGATGAAGAAGAGCTCGAGGGCCGAGCGCCGCAGATTGAAGCGCCGCAGGTGGACCTCTCGCAGCTGGGCCAGGGGACGCCGGAAGTCGTGCCCGATGCCTGCAGGTTCAAGAAAGGGGGGGTTCAGGAGTCCACACCCCAGGCCTCAGGCAACTCCCTGCCGTCTGTTCCCCCTCACCGGCTCCATCGGGACGCACCCTCTTCCGTCTCCACGCGATCCATGCTGCCGTCGTAAAAGTACACGTGTTGGGTGGTGATCTCCAGCAGACCTGGAACCACGGCCATCACCGTGACCAGTTGGCACTCGGCCGACAGGACCAGCTTCTCCCGCTGCTCATCCAGTTCTGCGGCCTCCATCCTTGGGGGGGGGGAGGGGTGGAAGAGCAGTATCCACATCCGTTAGGGTCTCTTACCAACTTCGCCCATAGCAAGGCACTGGTGGTTTCACACCTGTCATCCAAGCTACTCAGGAGGCTGAGATCTGAGGATGGTGGTTCCAAGCCAGCCCGGGGAAGGAAAGTCCATGAGACTCTTATCTCCGAGGAACCATCAGCAAACCAGAAGCGGTGCTGTGGCTCAAGTGGTAGAGCTGAAGAGCTGAGGGACAGCGCCCAGGCCCTGAGTTCAAGCCCCACGACCCCCAAAAATCAATCAATCAGCCCACCAAGCCTGCACCCAGCAAGCACCTAGCTTGGGGAAGTGCTTTCGGGTTCTGGAAGGGAGTCCCCAAGAACGCACGGGGTGACACTCCACTTGGAGATCTCCAAGAGTCCTGGGGTTCCCCACCCCCACTCACGGGGTCTCCAGCACAGCCAGCTCCTCCTCGCCCAGCTGGTCTTCCTGCAGCTGCTCATGCGGGGTGCTGACTTTGGCCTCTTTGGTCACGGCAAGAGGCAGCGCGGCCTCCTCTGTGGGTGTCAGAGGGACTTCGCCTACAAGAGACCAGAAGGGACTCAGAGAGCGCAAGGCAGGATGGGAGATGCCAGTGGGGGGAGGGGGGGTGCCCCGGCCTCATTCTCTTACCTAGATTGTCACGTAGGGCGCTGGCTTCTAAATGAGGGTCGAAGTGATGGTTGGGGACCAGCTTCAGGCGCATGCGTGAATACGTCTCGGCACTGGACAGCTTCCAGTGGGGGGCTGGGGGGTCCCTACGGATAGGTCCCCAGTGGTGGGCAGAAGAAGGCCATTGACTCTTTCCATCTCTCCCCCAACCCCGATGCATTGGTCTGGTTCCCTCTCCCTCTCTCCAATCTTGGGGCTTGAACTCAGGGCCTGGACGCTGTTCCTGAGCTTCTTTAGCTCAAAGCTAGCGCGTTACCACTTGAGCCACAGCGCCACTTCTGGCTTTTTCCTGTATCTGTGGGACTGAGGAATCGAACCCAGGGCTTCACGCATGCTAGGCGAGCACTCTACCACTGAGCCACATTCCCAGCCCAGTTGCTCCTGGCTCATCAAGCTTCCTATAGCTCTCCACCTTGAGTCCCAGCCCTACCTTAGCGCCCAGGCCCCACAAGGGCTGGAGAGCTGGCGCCACAGCGCCCCCCAGTGGAGCAGAGCGGTGGAGTGCTGCGCTGCCTGCTGCTTCAGCGATGTGGCGTAGCGCAGGCCCTCGGTGCGTGCCCGCCGCTGCACAGGCTCTAACACCAGCTCCTGCCAAGGAGAGGAGGGGGTAGGGGGAGAGGGTCAGTCCCAGAGGGTTGTTGCTTCTCCTGATCTCTTTTTTTATTGGGGGGGGGGAATCAGTTGTGGGACTTGAACTCTGGGCCTGGGCGCTGTCCCTCAGCTCTTCAGCTCAAGGCTAGCACTCTACCACTTGAGCCTCAGCCCCACTTCCAGCTTTTTCTGCTTATGTGGTGCCGAGGAATCGAACCCAGGGCCTCATGCATGCAAGGCAAGCGCTCTACCACTTGAGCCACAGCCCCCACTTCCAGTTTTCTGAGTGGTTCATTGGAGATCAGAGTCTCAGGGACTTTTCCTGCCCGGGCTGGCTTTGAACTGTGATCCTCTAGATCTCAGCCTCCTGAGTAGCTAGGATGACAGGTGTGAGCCACGGGTGCCCTGCCTGCTTCGATCATCAGCCAAGCCCAGGACACAGGGTCCTGTCCCCCCCACAGGAGGCCGCACACCTGGAAGGCCCGTCGACACTGCAAGCGTTCCTGCTGGTGCCGCTGAGCGCTACTCATGAGGGTGTCGTAGCAGGCGTTCCAGAAACCCGACATGAGGTCGTGGCTCTTGGCATACGTGTCCATCTCAAACTGGGACATGGTGGGCTGCACCTAGGAGAATCGGGCAAAGACAGACAGACAGACAGACCGACCGGTGAGGGCTTGATGCATGGCCCAGGCCCCCAGGCCTCAATCATTGGTACCCCCATTTCCCAGCTATGTAGGTACCTGCTTGTCGATAAAGTGGCGCCATTCTGGAGTGGCACAGAAAGCCTGGAAGTCCTCGAAGAAGGTAGGGCTGCCATTGGTGGGCGGCAGGGAGGGCAGGCCCCACTGCAGGCCCAGAGGTTCGTAGGCACGGTCCAGCAGCGTGCGCACCAGGGGCACCAGCCAAGAGCAACGCTCACTGGCTGTCGTGGCTTTGGCGTTGGAGGCGCTCCGCGCATGCTCCGTGAGGGTGTCCGGGGAGGAGGGGGCAGCATTGAGCGCACGGCTGAGCGCAGCCTCCAGCTTGGACAGCACATAGCAGGCCTCTTGGCGGCGCACGGGCGCTGCGGTCTGCAGGAGCGTGTGCAGCTTCACGTAGGCCTGGGCGTGCAGCTGTGGGATGGGGGGGTAGGGGGTGTGAAGGAGGTTGACTGTGGTACCCCCTATGTTCTCAGTGATCACCCCCACACACACAACACACATGCACACACATGCATATGCATGCACACGCATGCACACGGCTTTGCTCACCTGTGGATCCTCAAGCAGGATATAACCAAGCACGAGACGCAGGCCGATCTGTGCCAGCTCGCGGAGATCGGCCGTGCTGTTGGTCAGATGGGGCCAGGCACCCAGGCGGTCCAGCAGACTACACACGCCTTCGAAGAGCTGTCACACACACACACACACACACACACAATGCAGCCCTGGCAGATGACACCACGCCCAGCCGGGGGTTCCCCCCCTCCCCCCGACTCCCTGCCCCAGCCAAGGAGGGAGCAAGCAAGGCAAAGTCTAGGCTGCAGATCATGTAGGACTGGGGTGTTTTTGTCCGTCATGGGGTTTGAACTCAGGGCCCTGGGTGTGCTGTCCCTAAGCCTCTTTGTGCTCAAGGCGAGCGCTCTACCACTTGAGCCACAGTGCCACTTCTGGTTTGCTGAGTGGTTAATTGGACGTAAGAGTCTCCTGGGGTTTCCTGCCCCAGCTGGCTTTGAACCCTGATCCTCAGATCTCAGCCTTCTGAATAGCTGGGATGACATGGCGTGAGCCACCAGTGCCCAGCCAGCTTTTTGTTTTTGGTCCAAGTATGGTGCGCTATCACTCGATCCACGGTTCTATTTCTGCTAAGATTATAGAGCTACGAGCACCTAGCACTGGGTAGGGTTTGTACTGAGATCACAGACTCTGATTGCCTGACATAATCTGTAAGGTGAATCAGCACACCCCAAGCCCTGGTATCTATCCGGTCTCACCCTCAGCGATCAGAGCATCATGCTGACACTCCCTGTGGTCCCAGGCCTGCCCTATGTACCCCCTCTACCCTAAGGCCTACCAGGGCCTGTGGATGCCAAGTCTCGTGAGGCATACGCCCCCTGAACATCGTACCTTCTCACTCCATAGCTCCTGGTTGCCGTGACCCTCGGCACACAGGAAGTCCTGAAGTAGGCGGAGCAGCCAAAGAGCCTGCTGGGTAAGAGCACCCAGGCCTCCAGGAGGGGCCTCCTTGATGTCGGTCAGGGCTGACTCCAGCATCATCTCCAGGAGGCTGAAGGGGGGGTGGGGGTGGGACTTGAACTCTGGGCCTAGGCACTGTCCCTCAGCTCTTCAGCTCAAGGCAGGCGCTCTACCACTTGAGCCACAGAACCACTTCTGGTTTTCTGGTGGTTCACTGGAGATCAGAGTCTCACGGACCTTTCCTGCCCGGGCTGGCTCTGAAGAACCACGATCCTCTAGATCTCAGCCTCCTGAGGAGCTAGAATGACAGGTATGAGCCACCGGTGTCCCGGCTCACCTGCGTTTGATGCAGTCTGGCGGGCGGACAAGGGTGGCGGAGGCCCCCAGCTGGGTGAGCACAGAGAAGACCTGGCCCCGTTCTCGCCAGGCCGCCTCGTCGCTGCCCTCCACGCCCCGCCACGTCACGGAGAACAGCACATTGGTGAGCAGGTTGCACAGCTCCTCCTCGGGGGTCTGCTGTGGGTATGAGAATGTTGGGGAAGGAATCAGGCTGGGGGAAAACCTGGGCCCTTACCAAAGGCATTACTTCACAGTCCTCAAGACTGTTGGTCACACATGGTGGTGCATGGCTGTAGTACCAGCTATTCGGCAGGCAGAGATGGGGAGGATGGTGGTATGTGACCAGCCCCAGACAAAAAGTTAGCCAAGACTCTCATCTCAACCAACAGGCTGGGTGTGATGATGCACACTTGTAATCCCAGATATGTAGGAGGTATAGGAGGATTAAAATCTAGCAAATCTGCCAGGTGCTGGTGGCTCACACCTGTAATCCTAGCTACTCAGGAGGCTGAGAGCTGAGGATCACGGTTCAAAGCCAGTCCGGGCAGGAGAGACCGTGGGACTCCTATCTCCAATAAACCACCAGAAAACCAGAAGTGGCGCTGTAGCTCAAGTGGTAGAGCGCTCGCCTTGAGCTGAAGAGCTGAAGGACAGTGCCCAGGCCCTGAGTTCAAGCCCCACGACCGACAAAAACAAAACAAACAAACAACAAAAAAAAAAGATCTAGCAAATTTGAGTCCCTGTGTTCATATCTCAGTACTGAAAGTACTGAGTTCATACCTCGGGACTGAAAACCAAAGTGGGGATGGAAAGAAGGAAGGAAGGCGGGAAGGAAGGAGGGAAGGAAGGAAGGAAGGAAGGAAGGAAGGAAGGAAGGAGGCAGGCAGGCAGAAAGCAAGTTAGGCTAGGAGTTGTCTGGAAGAATGGAATTGGGTGAATTGTGGCTCATTCCCAAACCAGAAGTGCAAGCCAGGAAAGACCTTCCAATCTAGGCTCCAAGGAGCTCTTCTTGTGTGTGTGTGTGTGTGTGTGTGTGTGTGTGTGTGTTCGGGTATCGGGGCTCAAACTCAAGGGCTGGGCACTGTCCCTTAGCTTTTTCACTCCAGGCTGGTGCTCTACCACTTGAGCCACAGCTCTCTGTTCCTCGGTAGTCGTTGGAGATAAGAGTCTCCTAGCTGGGCGCTGGTGGCTCACGCCTGTCATCCTAGCTCCTCAGGAGGTGGAGATTTGAGGATGGCAGTTCAAAGCCAGTCTGGACAGAAAAGCCCGTGAGAACTGTTATCTCCCATGAACCACCAGAAAACCAGAAGTGGCGCTGTGGCTCAAAGTGGTAGACGCTTGCCTTGAGCTGAAGAGCTGAGGGACAGTGCCCAGGCCCTGAGTTCAAGCCCCATGACCACCAAAAGAAAAAGTCTCATAGACTTTTCTACCTGGGGTGGCTTTGAACCATGATCCTCAGATCTCAGCCTCCTAAATAGGATGGCAGGCATACACCCTCACCTGAGGGTTGCTGGTATTCGAGGTGTCATCTCCGCTGACGGTGGGCTCCAGGAAACTGCCATCCTCCAGCACATTGGAGAGACTTGAGCTATGGCGGCCATGAGCCGTAGGGAAGGGCCGGGCCCCATCTAGAGGGGATGGGGTGCCAGGCTGGCTGGCTGGAGTAATGGTCCCATTGCTGCTACCACCACCACCACCACTGCTGCTGGCATTATTGCCCGAACCCACACTGGCCCGTTCCAGGCCCAGGTCAAAGGGTGTAGAGAATGGAGAGAAAGCATGGTAAAAAGAATCCGAGTCAGGGCTGGGGGCATCGGAGGGGAGGAAGACGTCTGAAGGCTCAGGAGATGATTCTGTAGGTGGTGGAGACAGGGCTGACTCCAGAGGAGCCAGAGGCTCTGGAGAAAAAGCTTGGGGACCTGGAGCCGCGGGGGCCTCCTGGATATACAGTTGGGTCAACACATCTTGCCAGCCCGCCTGTCCAGCCAGTAACCGCACCACATCTGGCTGGCTATAGATGAGGTAGAAGAGCTGTTGGGGTGAGAGCAAGAAGAGAGATCCACTCAATGCCTGTCCCACATTCTTGCCCAGAGGCCTTTATCGCAAAGCCTGCTGGGAACCCCTCCTCGTAGTCAGTAAAGATACATCCCAGAGGGGAGAAACTGCCCCCCCCCACATCTCCCATTGGCTCTCAACACGTTTAGCTTCACCCACCTGGCGACAGATGTCCAGGCGGACGTGAAGATCAGCCTGTAGGGACAGCTGGATCACAGCCAGCAGGTCTGAGAGGTTCAGGTAATCTGGAAAGATAGCCAGGAGGGGGAGTTGGGTAGGGTATTGGTCTAAACAAAGGCCTTGAGTTCAATCCCCGGTGCCACCAAAAGCAAAAGAAGGCTCCTGGTTTTGCTTTTCCGGATACACTCATCTTCCCACGCGTGGTCTGCCTCATAGCCAGGTCGTACCTGCCCCCAGGAAGAGCTTGTAGAGGCCCTGGCAGAGCTGGGGGGACACAGTTCCCTCTGGCAGGCAGGCGACAAGGCCCTGGAGACCACCATCCCGCAGCCGGAGGCGCTGACGGCTCCGTTCAGGCAGCCGTTCATTCTGCTGCAGCCTGCGCAGAATCTGTGGAAGGGTGTGTGTTTGGGGGTGTCATTTGGGGGAGATCATCATAGGGAAGGACTGATTGTAGGAGGGCAAATGTCACCGAGCAGCTGTGTGGTTGGACCCCAACCAGCCCAGGGGACGTAGTAAAATGGAATGGCAGGGTCAGGGAAAGACTCAGCAAGCAAGCGTACCTTGCAGACACGATCAGGCAGCGGAGACAGCGCCTTCGGCCTCACCAGCAGTGCAAGCAACACCTCAAGGTTGCCTGGCTCCAACAAGAAGACAGCCAAGGAGTCTTGGGCCAGGGAGCCCTGCAGCAGGGCCAGCAGCAGGTCCAGTGCACCGATCGCCTGGGATAGACCATGAACAATCTCTCCATCTGGACTGGGGGGGGGGCGGTATCTCCCCACACTTTCCCTCCCTATCTGATGCACACACCTCCCTCCCTTCAAGGCTCACCAGGCTGTCATCACCCACGGCCGCCAGGAAACTCAGAACCACCTGCACGTCATCAGCCGAGAAGCTGCGCACCAGGAACTCCCGGGCCAGCCCCAGCAGGGAAGTCTGCACTGTGCGCAGGTCATCGGCCGCCAAGGGGCGCTCGCGCTGTGGGCTTGGCCAGTCCCAAAGAGCCGGCAGGTCCAGAAAGGAGGGGAGAGGAGAGCAGGGAGAATGGGCAGGTGAGCTGGAGGGGAAGGGGAGGGGTACCACAGCCTTCACAGGTCCCTAAAGCCAGGGGCTGCTGTTAACACACACACACACACACACACACACACACAGAGCCAACCTGATCCTATTCATCTCACCTGTAGTGGGTGCGCAGAGCATCAAGGATGAACTGGACCCCGTACTTCTTCCGAAGCTTCTGTCTGTGCTCTCGGATTATGCTGGACATGTACTGGATGTGGCCTGAGTGGACATGAGCAATTGAGCTCCAGGGCATGGCCACGCCCCCCGAGAATTCTCTGGGGGTATGACCACGCCCCCTGCCAGACCTCCCAGCTCAGGGCCACACCCTCTGCCAGACCTCCCAGCTCAGGGCCACGCCCCCTGCCAGACCTCCCAGCTCAGGGCCACGCCCCCTGCCAGAATTCCCAGCCGAGGGCCACGCCCTCTCCAGGTCACTCAAGGCGTGGCCACGCCCCCTGCTAGACCTCCCAGCTCAGGGCCACGCCTTCTGCCAGATCTCCCAGCCGGGGCCACGCCCCCTCCAGGTCACTCAAGGCAGGGCCCCTCCCCCTGACAGATCACTCAGGGCAGGGCCACGCCCCTCCCCAGCCAGACTTTCCAGGGCAGGGCCACACCCCTCACCAGATCTCCTAGAGCATAGCCACTCCCCCTGGCCAGACCTCCCAGGGCCACGCCCCCCTCCCTTCCCCAGATCTCCCAGTGGAGGGCTAAATTCCCACAGATAGCCCACAGCAGAGCTGGAACCTTGTCAGTTATACCTGTCTTGGGTCACCCAGAATAGGGTTCTAACTTTCTCACCCCAATCGGCCCCACAGCTAGCCCCGCCACCTACCAAGGCGCACAGCAAAGTCACTGAGGGCCCAGAGGTGAAAGTTGAAGAGCAGATGCTGGTAGAGGAGGTATAAGAGGGGCCCCGCACTTTCAGCGGCCACTTGCTCCATTAGCAGCTGGGCAGACATGAGAACGTTCATGTCCATGGCTCCGTTGGGCACCTGGGGGTAGGAAAAGGGATCTAGGCTGAAACGTGGTCATGCTGTACCTACCCTGCTGTTCCAGCTGACGCTCAGCCCTCAGCCTTCCCTGCCTAGGAATGGCGCATCCACAAACATGCCCATCCCACCAGCTCCCAAGTGCAAGGTCTCACCCCGCTGGGCAGCCCTCCTGCTCCAGCCCAGGCTGCCCCTTCTCCATATACTCACAGCCTACTCCTATCCAGCCTTTCTTTTCTTTCTTTCTTGATTCTGGCCATTACTGAGGACTGAACTCAGGGCCTAGGTACTGTCCCTTAGCTTTTTCACTCCAGACTGGCATTCTGTCACTTGAGCCACAGCTGTACTTGTGACTTTGTGTTGGTTAGTTGGAAACACGCATCTCACAAACTTTCCTGCCAGGGCTGGAACTTCTGTTTCTCGGATCTCATCCTCTTGATTACAGGTATGAGCTTCGGAGCGTGTGTGTGTGTGTGTGTGTGTGTGTGTGTGTGTGTGTGTGTGTGTGCTCATCCTCTTGATTACAGGTATGAGCTTCGGAGCGTGCGTGCGTGCGTGCATGTGTGTGTGTATGTGTGTGTGTGTGCTGGTATTAGGGCTTGAACTCTGGGCCTAGGCATTATTATTATTTTTAACCACTTGAGCCACAGCTCCACTTCTGATGTTTTTGGTAGTGCACTGGAGATAACAATCTCACGGATTTTTTTTTTTTCCTGCCTGGGCTGGCTTCAAACTTTGATCCTCAGCCTTCAGCCTCCTGAGCAGCTAGAATTCACAGACATGAGTCTCTGTCACCCACAGCTCACCGGATCTCTTGTCATTCACTGCATTGCCATTTCTCAGCAGCTTCTACCTCTCGGCCTCCTACTCCCCGGATGGTAGACAGGCCTTACCTTCCGCAGGAGAGCCCCAATGATGGCCGGTCCCTGGCACTGCACCAGGCTTTCCTGGTTCACAGCGTGGTCCTGCAGGAAGTTCCTCAGCATCAGCAGAAAGGCGGCCACTGCATTCCTCTCCATCCGCTCCTCTGCCGGCCACCAGGAAAGGGACAGAGAGAGATCAAGGGCCTGCCGATCTCCCCACCCAGGCTCGAGTTGCAACTCTCCCAGGCCCCAGAGACACACTTACCTGAAGACTTGCCCAGCGGGAGGAGCAGACCTTGGGCATTGTGGTTAGACGTCAGCTCAGGTCCTACCAGGTCATGCGTTTCTGCTGGGGCCGCGTCGGCCTGGTGTGGCTGGGCTGCAACTTTCTCCAGCAGGGGGAGCAGGGCACCCATGCCCCCGACACAGTTGATCACATCCTGGGGCAGAAGGGAAGGATGGGAGATGGCATCTTATCCTATCTGCCCCAGATCACTCAGCCCCGGGGGGTGCCCACACCAGCAGGCCCCACGCACCTTCACGTCCCACGTCTCCACTCTGTGACCTGTCAGGCGACCATCTAGTCCTTGGCTGGGGGACAGGTCCAGGCAGATGTTGTTTTTACAGGCCTGGGGTGGGTTGTGTGGGGGAGGAGAGGTAAAGGATAAGGAGACAGGGATCAGAGACAGAAAGCGGGGACCAGGAGACAGCATCCCACCTCCCCCCCCCCAAATACCTGAGGTGAATAATGCAAAAGAAGCTTGGCTCCAAGTTCATGTAGCTCGCCTTCAGGCTTGAAGGGTGCTGGCTCATTAGGTCCTGGAGAGGAGCAAAGAGGCCTTCAGACTTCACCTGGCCTCTCTTCAAGCAGCACCCCAAAAGCCTCCCACTCTGTCCAGAGGACAGCTTCCCAGGAGGCATTGTCTGGGCACTTTATAAACTCAGACATTCTAGCCAGGGATCAGTGGCTCACACCTGTCACCCTAGCTAACTCAGGAGACTGAGATCTGAGGATCCAGGTTCAAAGCCAGCCCGGGCAGGAAAGTCTGTGAGACTCCAATCTCCAATGAACCATCAGAAAATGGAAATGGCGCTGTGGCTCAAGTGGTAGAGTGCTCGCCTTGAGCTGAAGAGCTCAGGGACAGTGCCCAGGCCCAGAGTTCAATCCCAACAACCAACCAAAAACAAACAAACACCCCAGACATTCTAGCCAGGTACCAGTGGCTCACGCCTGTCACCCTAGCTACTCAAGAGGCTGAGATCTGAGGATCACAGTTCACAGCCAGCCCAAGGCAGGAAAATCTGTGAGACTCTTCTCTCCAATGAATCACCAAAGAAAAACCAGCAGTGATGCTCTAGTGGTAGAACACTAGCCTTGTGCACAAAAGCTCAGGGACAGTGCCCAAGTCCTGAGTTCAAGGCCCAAGATCGGCACAGAAACAAAACAAAACAAGCATCTTAGTCGGGCTCTGGTGGCTCACATCTGTCATCCTAGCTCCTCAGGAAGCTGAGATCTGAGGATGGCGGTTCAAAGCCAGCCTGGGCAGAAATGTCCATGAGACTCTGATCTCCAATGAACCACCAGCAAACCGGAAGTGGCGCTGTGGCTCAAGTGGTAGAGTGCTCGCCTTGAGCTGAAGAGCTGAGGGACAGCGCCCAGGCCCAGAGTTCTAGCCCCATGAGCGACAAAACAAACAAACAAGCATCTTGGACCTAGAACAATGCTTAGGATCTGGGGTGGGAAGGCAGGCAGGAGACAGAGGCGACCACATACCCAGGGCATACAGATTCCTCAAGGTGGTGGCCTGCAGAGCTTCGTGAAAGATGGCCACAGATCCCAGCTCGCCCTCCAGAGAAGTGGGGCTTCCCCACCGGGTGTCCTGGGTCCCAGCCAGGGTGGAGCTGATACTGCCTTCCGGGAGGGAGGCTACGGACCCGGATCCCCAGCCCAGCCCCGTGGAGGCTGGCACGGATTGGGAGCGGGTGAGGGAGGGGTGAGTAGGAGCGAGGGCAGCAGGCACGGGTGGCGAGGGCGGCCCTGTAGTGGTGGTCGTGGTGCGGTGCCCAGCAGAGCCAATACAGCAGGAGGAGAAAGGCTGTGGGGGTGGAGGGCGGAAGGGAACCAATCAGATTGCAGCACTACCTTCAGCTTTAAAGACAAACAGTTCTTCATGGTATCTCCTGTGATTGGACCTCTCCCCTTCCTTCCCCCTCCCCCTCCCTGCCCCCCAAGACATCATTTCTGAGGTGTGGGGGGTGGGAGGGGTACCTAGTACTCCAAGTCCCACTGCCCCCAAGTCTGCCCACCTCACTGAGGCATGGGCAGCGAAGCGGTGCCAGTTTGACCAGATGACCATCTTTGTAGACATGGACCAGGTTCTGGCTAAAAGGCCGGCGCCCGGGTACATGGACGATTCCCACAGAATGCTGGAAGAGAAGCCACAAGGATATGGAACCAGGCCAGTGCCTGACATCCTTACTCCTCAAGAGGCTGAGATCTGAGGATCGCGGTTCAAAGCCAGCCTGGGCAGGACCGTCTATGTGACTCTGATCTCCAAGGAACCACCAGAAAACCGGAAGTGGTGCTGTGGTTCAAGTGGTAGAGCGCTTGCCTTGAACTGAAGAGCCGAGAGACAGTGCCCAGGCCCAGAGTTCAAGACCCACCACGGACAAAAAAAAAATAAAGAAGAACATCAAGCCATACTTGGAGTCTGGTGTCCCTTCCCCCCATGAGAAACAAGAGGAGCCGGGTGCCATTGGTTCACACCTGTTATCTTAGCTACTTGGGAGGCTGAGATCTGAAGATTGTGGTTCAAAGCCAGCCGAGGCAGAAAAGTGCCTGATACTCCTATCTCCAATTAACCAGCAAAAACCATCAATGGAGCTGTGGCTCAAGTAGGATGGCACCAGTCTTGAACAAGGGAAGGTAAGGTAGAGCACTCAGGCCCTAAGTTCAAGCCCCAGTACCAGCACACAAAGAGTCGGCCACTGGTGGCTCATGCCTATAATCCTAGCTACTCAGGAGGCTGAGATCTAAGGATCACGGTTCAAAGCCAGCCTGGGCAGGAACGTCTGTGAGACTCTTCTCTCCCATGAACCACCAGAAAACTAGACATGGCTCTGTGGCTTGAGGGGTAGAGTGCTTGCCTTGAGCTGAATTGCTGAGGGACAGCGCCCAGGCCCTGAGTTCGAGCCCCATGACCGACAAAAGATAGAGCGAGACAGAGAGAAATCCAGGAACTCACCCAGGCGGAGTCAGCGAAGGACACTTCGGGCAAGCTCACAGTCAAGTATTCCTTCCGGGTGCACACGGCTACCACCAGGGCTCCAGCTGCTGTGAAGAAGGCCTCGAACCCTGAACCACTGCTGGTAAAGAAGCTGGGAGACAAGCCAGCAGGTTAGACCTGTGTATTCCAGCAGCAGATCCCTGGGAAGTTTTTGGAGGAGAGGCGGGGGGGGGGGTCCACCCACCTATAGAGCTGCTTCCGCTGGAATGGCTGGGGAGAAACTGAGGCAGGTGCCGTATTGGCAGAGTGCAGACAGAGCCAGGCATGAAAGGTGAAGGCAGGGCCCGGCCACCGCTGTATGGGGGGCACCATGATGCCAGCCATGCTTGGAGTGAGATCAAAGTAGCGCAGGCTACGTGTAGGACCTTGGTGCCTGGCCATGCCCGAAAGTGCCCGGATGATGGAGGCTGCATGTTGAGCCTTCTGAGCCTCGGACCCCGAGACCAGCCCCGGTGGGGGGCGCAGCAAGCGACGCAGCTCCATAGGCCTCAGGGACACACGACCCAAGGCCTGCAGCAAGGCTAACAGTTGCTCCTGGCAGCGGGCTCCCAGGCCGATGCCCAGGCTGAGGGCCTCCAGCAGATAGCCCACTAGGCCTGCTTGCACGCAGGTGGCCCGGCTGGCAGGGCAGCTGGTACAGAGCCACTGGAGACGCTGAGCCAGAAAGAGCTGCAGCTCGGCGGTGGGCAACGCTGGTAGCCACTGCATCAGCACCAGCACGGGCTGCTCGTTGCGGATCGGTGGCGGGGGGCATAGACTGTGATCACCCTCCACGGCCTATGGATGGAGAGACAGAAGGTGTCAGATGCACGGGCTACCTGCCCCCCCTCCCCATCCTGTTTGTGGTTGGGTGCTTTGGGAGCTCCACCCTAAGCCCTGGGCTCACCATGTTGAGCAGCTCTTGCAAAAGGCGCTGGGTAGGAGGTCCTTGGCTCTGTAAGGCCTCCTGGAGGTGCTGGTAGCCGATACGTTCCTTGAACACTTCCTGCAATGAGGAGGAAGTGAGCGTGTGTGCAAGCCCCAGGAAGTTAGGGGAGATAGTCTCTTTTAGGGCTTGTTGTTGGTCGTGGGGCTTGAACTCTGGGCCTGAGCGCTGTTCCTGTGTTCCTTAGCTCAAGGCAAGCGCTCTACCCCTTGAGCCACAGCGCCATTTCTGGTTTCTGGGTGGTTCGTGGGAGATCAGAGTCTCATGGACTTTTCTCCACCGGGCTGGCTTTGAACTGTGATCCTCAGATCTCAGCCTCCCGAGTAGCTAGGATGACAGGCATGAGCCACCGGCGTCTGGTTGGGGGTGGAAGTTCTTACAGGCCAGTTCCGATGGGCTGTGTGGTCAACTCCCTCAGATTCCTACTGTAGCCAAAAGGCAGGCTTACCTTGGCTGAAGGAGAGCCGCTCATGATGCAGGTCAGCACCCTGACCACGTGGACGGCAATAGCATCTGTGTCCTGGTCTAGTACCTTGGGGTGGGGAGGGGCAGTCAGGAGAGGCAGATGCCAGGGGGTACCAGCTGGCAGTACTCTGTAGTAAAAGGGATGTAAGGCTAGGCACCACAAGGTATAACGGCATGTGTTCAATCAGCAATCCTGACAAGGCATTTGGGCCTCTACCTACCCCCTCCTACCCCAAATTTGAGCCCTAAAGAGGCCTGAGGAGAATTAAGGCCTCGCGGAGACAGATCAACATTGGATCTTCTCGCTGGGCCCCTCCCCACACCCCCCACATCCCATTCATTCTCTGTTGAACATATTCCCCTCTTCCTCCCTTCAACACATATACACACACACAGAGATCCCCACCCGAGCTAGACACCCGCGTGAACGCAGGCCAGCAAGTGCACCAGCACCCTCAATGTATGACAGATGGTCAGAGATGGTCTGCCCAGCACAGGTGGCTCACGCCTGTCATCCCAGCTACTCAGGAGGCTGAGATAGGAGGATCGCGGTTCTAAGCCAGGCCAGGCAGATAAATCCAAGAGATTCTTAGCTCCAATGAACTAGCAGAAGCCTGGAAGTGGGGATGTGGCTCAAATGGTAGAGCACCAAAAAAAAAAAAAAAAAAGCTAAGGGAGAACAAGAGGCCCTGAGTTCAAGCCCCAATACTGACACAATAACAAATTCAAATAAATAAGCCGGGTGCTGGTGGCTCATATATCTGTCATTCTAACTACTCAGGATCTAACTACTGAGATCTGAGGATGGAGGTTTGAAGCCAGCTTGGGCAGGCAAGTCCATGAGACTCTTATCTCCAATAAACCACCAGGAAACTTGAAGTGGAGCTGTGGCTCAAAGCCGGTAGAGTACTAGCCTTGAGCAGAAAAGCTCAGGGACAGCGCCCAGGCCAAGTTCAAGCCCTATGACCACCACCAACAAAAAATTCAAATACATAAGAACTAGGTACCAGCTGTGTACCAGTGGCTCATGCCTGTCTGTCATCCTAGCTACTCAGCAGGCTGAGATCTGAGGATCCTGGTTCGAAGCCAGCCCAGGCAGGAAATTCTGTGACCCTCTTATCTCCAATAAACTCTTCAGAAAAAGCTGGAAGTGGCGTCATGGCTCTAATGGTAGAGTGCTAGCCTTGAGCCACCAAGAGGCTCAGGGACAGCGCCTAGGCCTTGAGTTCAAGCCGCAGGACCCCCCAAAATAAATAAATAAATAATACATAAATAAATAGTCATCATCTTGTTCTGCCTGCTTTGGAGAGGAGTAGATTAAGCAAAGAATAAGCACACGTAGTAGAAACATAAGACTGTTGATATGAAGAACAATGGAGATCGGAGCTCAGGTTATAGGCCCTGACTGATATCCTACAGCTTCTTACAGCCTCTAGGCTCAGAGCATGTGAGCGGGAGCTGTATGACTTGAGGGACATTAAGAACCCATGGGAAAAGTAGCCCCCTGTTCTTCGTGGGGGGGCTGAGTTTCCAGGCTTCTGTTTCTCCTTCTGAGACACAGAGGTAGGTGGGTTGAGTTTCGAAGGTTCCTTCCACGTTGGCACAGCCCATCCCCGATGCTCAATTTTAATGCCACACAGGTAGCAGAGCACAGTCCTGCCCCCCTCCCCCCTGCCACCCTTAGGCTTGAGGATGGGGGCTTGGAAGGGGGGGGAGAAAGCGAGGCAGCTTGGGACATCCTCCCCTACTGCTGCTGATCGATTCATCCCCCACCCCCACCCCAATCTCCCATCAGAGCAAAGAGAAGATTCAGAGACATTGGGAGGAGCCCAAGGAGTGGGGGGGGGGTGCCTGACTGATCATCCCCAGAATGGTACCTTCTGTACATCGGGCTCGGTCAGTAACCGGGTAGCCAGGTCACTGTCCCTCTCAGAGGGTGCCCGGGCCTGCAGGTACAGCTGTGGGGGAGGGGAAGGGAGGGAACACAGGGTAGAGAAGGCAAAAGAGAGACGAGGAAGAAGATGAGAGGGTTAGAGCAATACTGGGGGGGGGAGATGGCAGCTGCCAGGGCTCTGCCACCGTGAGGCAGTGGTACCCCCAAATCTCAGGCAAAGTGCCCCCCAGTAGGCTGAGGAGGTACCCAGATTCTGCTCAGATGAGCAGAGGTGAGTATGGATGAGTGGGTGAGGGCAGACAGGGCATCCAGAGGCAGCTGAACCCCCCCCCGTTCTGGGTTTTTGTTTTGGGGGGGCATCCTGAGCCTCAGGCCAGCCCTATGAAGAGCCCAAGGGGAAGAGGCCATTTTGTCCATCCATACCCCTGGGCGGGGCCGGCTAGTGGTGCTTTCTCAGCCTCAATGAGGCAAGCTCCACATGGCTGCACCCACCTTGCTGTTCTGGATGAGGCGAATGAAGTGTTCGAAGCAATTATTGCTGAGGAAGGCAGCCTGGAGGACGGGCCGGTCTTCACACGCTAACATCATGGGGATGGCATCTGTGCAAGGCGCAGAAGCAGGTTCCGCTCAACCCCTCACAGGTCGCCTGGCTGCCACCTGGGCCAGCCCGTTCATTCACTCATTCATTCATTCATTTTTTGAACTCTGGGCCTGGGTGCTATCCTGAGCTCTTCAGCTCAAGGCGAGGACTCTACCACTTGAGCCACAGCGCCACGTCTGGTTTTCGGGGGGTTCCTTGGAGATCAGAGTCTCACAGACTTTCCTTGCCCAGGCTGGCTTTGAACCGCGATCCTCAGATCTCAGCCTCCTGAGTAGCTAGGATGACGGGCGTGAGCTGCCACCTGTGTCCAGGCAGCCTTTCCATGTAGTAGCTTCCTCCCCTTACCCCCAAGAGTCTGGGAACCCCCATACCCACCCAGCATGCTGACCCGCAGGGTGACCAGGGCTTCCTCAGGGCCTGAGCTTGGACCAGGGGGCCGGTCAGCGTTGAGGACGCGGAAGTAGCCTTCCAACAGGGCACGGAGCTCTGGCCCACGGGGTGGTGCGCGGCTGGCGTGGAGGACGTGAACTGCGCCCACCAGGGCCTCCACTGCTGACAGCACAAGCCGAGAGTCCTGGGCTGGCCCATGAGCCCAGCCCCACACCACTCCCAGCAGGCCTTGCACAGAGCCGGCACTCACTGCCAACTGGCCATTCTCCTGCAGGGAAGAGCAAAGAGGGGGTCACTGGCAAGGGGGTTCACCTAGCCATGAGACCTCCCCGCCTCCCCAGACAGCTATGGCCCCAGCTCACCTCCCAGCTTACCTTTCCTCCCGCGAGGACAGCCCCGAAGAGATGGATAAGCCGTAATAGCAGCCTGGCAGGCAGGAGCTGGGCATTTTGCAGGCTCTCTGGGTGGTGGGCAGGAGAGGAAAATGTCACCAGGGATGGGGGGAACCCAGAGACTACATGGGGAGTATGGGCTGGGAACTACTAGCTACTTAGGAGGCTGAGATCTGAGGATCCCAGTTCAAAGCCAGCCCAGGCAGAAAAGTCCGAGAGACTCTGATCTCCAATGAACCACTCAAAAAAAAAAAAAAAAAAAAGCCAGAAGTGACATTGTGGTTCAAGGGGTAGAGCGCTCGTCTTGAGCAAAAAGAAGCTCTGGAACAGCGCCCAGGCCCTGAGTTTAAGTCTTAAAACTGGGAGCCTGGTTTGAGGCGCTCAAAGTTCCGCCCTGAGACCCTACGAATCTCCCCACATCCTTCAGCCCTACAGTGGAAGCCCAGGGTTGAGTGCACGTACCCACTTTGGCTTTCCCAGGGTTCATTCCCAGATGCCACCCCACGCCTTTGCCCTATTGTGGGGGACCCTGATGTTTCTACCATGCTGACAGCTGTTCCTGCAGCCCCTCCCGGGGACTTCCAGGGGTTTTCACAGCCTCGTGTGTGTGTGGGGGGCCCACCTGCTTGCTTGCTTCAGCAAGAGGACACAAGGCCCAACAACGAACTGAAACCCAGACAGCACAGAAGCCAGCCCCGAGACACGCTGAGGAGTAGAGTGGGCGTGATTTAGGTGGGATAGGGCGGAAGCCCCCCTCCCAAGGGCTTTGGAAGTGCGGCCTGAGAAAAGGCCCCACGTAGGAAAAGACTCCTCCCTCCCCTCAAAGAAGAGTAAGCTAGTTTCATTCTAGGGATAAGAGATAGGAGTGAGGATGGTAGGAGAGAGAAAGACAAAGAGAGAGAGAGGTTATGGGAAAGAGTAGGAGGATTCAACTCTAAGGGTTCTGAAGAGTACTCAAGCTGGGAATGGTAGTTCATGCCTGTAATCACAACTGCTTGAGAGGTAGGAGGATTGCAAGTTTTCAGCTTGCTCAGGCAAAGTTAGTGAGAACATCAAAAATGAAAATGAAAGGGTTGGAAAGTATGGCTCAAGTGGTAGAATACTTGCCTATCGAGTACAAGGCCCTGGTTCAATCCCTAGTACTGGAAGGAAGGAAGGAAGGAAAGAGAGAGAAAGAAAGAATGAAAAAGGGAGAGAGAGAGAGCACGCGAGGGAAGGAAGGAAGGAAGGAAGGAAAGAAGGAAGGAGAAAGAAAGAGCCAGGCACTGGTGGCTCATGCCTATAGTCCTAGCTACTCAGGAGACTGAGATCTGAGGATCACAGTTCAAAGCCAGTCCAGGCAAGAAAGTCCATGAGACTCAAATCCAATTAACCAGTAGAAAACTGAAAGTGGAGCTGTGGCTCCAAGGGGGTAGAATGCTATCCTTGAGCAGAAAAGCTCAAGGATACCACCCAGGCCCTGAGTTCAAGCCCCATGACCAATGAAAACAAAAAAAGGAAAAAACAAAAGAAAGAAAAGAAAAAACATGTTCACGCCTGTTATCCGATTACTCAGGAGGCTGAGAACTGAGGATCATGGTTTGAAGCCAGCTGAAGGCAGGAAAGTTTGTGAGACTCTTATCTCTCATTACTCACCAAAAAAGTTGGTAGTAGAGCTTTGGCTCAAGTGGTAGAGCGCCTAGCCTTGAGGGAAAAAGCTCAGGGACAGTGGCCCAGACCCTGAGTTCCAAGCCCAGGAGAGGGAAAACAAATAAATACCTTGCCTGGGAAGTGGAGGATGGAGGCAGGAAGGCTCCCTAGGACCTTTCGCTCCTGGGGTGGCTGACTCCGTTCTAATCTCAGGCCTCCTAGAGGCTCTGAGGCATAATATATCAAAAGCCTCTGCCTACCTCTGCCCAGGCCACATCCTGCCCTGAGCTCATTTCATATCCCGGCCAATGTCCCTCAAATGATAGGAGAGACCAAGGAGAGGCCCACCCCAAGGAGCACAGGTGACTGAAGGTGTTCTGAGCATTGCTCTGCTAGCGGCTGAGAGAGCAGGTGGAGATAGCTGGTAGCTGTTATTTACAGCTCAGGGCCTGGAGGACGGGGTGGAGACTTTGGGGACAAGGAAGTTGGGAAATCAAAGGGCAGGCCATTTACCACCCCCCACACACACACCTGAAAGAGGCCCTCACTGCAGCCTAAGGAAGAAATAACTGCCCAAACTTCCCCTTTCTCTTCTTTTAGCTCCTCAGCTCCCTACTTGATCTTAGTATGTCTCTGCTCCCCGCCTTCCCCCCAAACATCTATGGCTCTCCTGACTGCAGCTACCACCCATTAAGTACTTGTCCAGTGTTTGGGCTTAGGGAATTGGAGGGCGGGGCCTAGGTTTGGGGGCGGGGCCAGATGGGGCCTGGTGGGGGCCCAGGCATGGGAAGCTCAGAGAACTGGAGGGCGGGGCCTAGGTTTGGGGCGGGACCAGATGGAGCCTATACGGGCCCGAGCCAGGGAAACTCAGGGAACCGGAGGGTGGGGCCTAGGTTTGGGGGCGGGGCCTGGCGGGGCCTGAACAGGGGAAGCTCAGGGAACCAGAGGGCGGGGCCTAGGCTTGGGGGCGGGGCCCAGTGGGGTGAGAGGAAGGGCAGAGGCCAAGCGCCTGACCTTGGAAGAAGGTGCTGAATTCACAGGGCAAAACTGCAGGAGGGAACTTGTATTTGTTCTTCTCCTTGGAGCTGATGACTTCCCTAAAGGGGGCAGGGGAGGGTAGGAAGAGGGTTGAGGTCAGGTCCTCCATCAGCCTGGCCCTCCCCTCTTCTGGCTCTTTCTTTTCTTTTCTCTCTTGGTGCCCCAATCATGGGGCTTGAACACAGGGCCTGGGCGCTGTCCCTGAGCTCTTCAGCTCAAGGCCGGTGCTCTACCACTTGAGCCACAGCGCCACTTCCAGTTTTCTGGTGGTTCATGGGAGACAAGAGTCTCTCGGACTTTCCTGCCCGGGCTGGCCTTGAACCGCGATCCTCAGATCTCAGCCTCCTGAGTAGCTAGGATGACAGGCGGGAGCCTCCGGCACCCACTTCTTCGGGCTCCTTTCTGACCATCAGCTCCCAGGCTCAGTCCCTACCACCTCCATCTCTTGCAGTCCCAAAGTCCTATCCTCTCTCCAGCTCCCTTGGGTGGCGGGGGTGTGTGTGGGGGTCCTCTTTCCTGAGGACTGGGTCTTACCCACTACGCTGGCGCCGCCAGATCTGGTAGGGGTCGAAGAGCCCCTCACAGAGGAGCAGGGCATGCAGGGCCACATTCTCCAGCTGGGTCTCCCGATCCTCTGGTGGTAGTGGGGGTCCTTTGAGCTGCCGTGGTGAGGAGAGGAAAGAGGAAGAGTTCATCTTGCCACACTCACCGGGCAAATACCAGGCTCCATGCACACCCCCAGAGGATCCACCTCACCTGAGCCACTAGCCTTGTGAGTAATGCCAGCACGCGGGGCACCAGCACCTGCCCCCAGCCTGCCTCTACATTTTTCAGGTTCCTGGTAAGGGGGCACACAGAGAGAGATCGGATGAATGCACCTGTGCCATCGACCTCTCCCAGCCCCCACAGCTGGGGGAGCAGGGGGGGAGTGGATAGAGCGAAGGAGCACCTGCAGAGAATGATGAAGAGCTTGAGCAGCAGCAGGGCTTGCTCTAGGTCCTCCTGTTCTAGCTGCTCAGCTAACACATGCAGGGCGTCCAGTGGTAGCAGTGGGACTTCTGCACCCGCCTCCTCTGGTCTGCAAGAGAGGAAGAGTCTCTGAGGTACCCAGGACCTGCCCTCTCCCCCACCCCCCCACACATACCTTCCACCCCTATGGCCCAGGTCCTGTCCTGTCTCCAGATCTAGACTTACCTTCGTGGCTCCAGGGAGGAGAGTGAGATGCTCTTTTCAAAGGCCCCCACGAAGGCCTTCAGCCATTGCTGCAGGTAACTCAGGTCCTTCTGTGCCAGGGGAAACAGAGGGAGAAGGGCAGGTTGCAGGCAGAGCGATGAGAGGTGGAAAAGGGGAAGGAAGGATAGACCAGAGGGAGGAAGGGCAGGAAGGTGGAAGGTCAGCACCTATGGTCATATTGATCACTTTTCCAACAATCTCTCCATCTGCGTCTCTGAACCCCCATCGCCAATCAGTCTCTGTTCCCATCTCTTTCACTTTGGGGGGGGAATGGGGGAGCTGACACAGACATGGGAGGGGCTTGAGTGGGGGTGTGGCTGTGGTCCACACTGCCGCTGGGGTAGGGGAGGTCTCCCAAGTTTGTGGACTGGGTTCTGCAGACATTATCACCTTTCGACCTCCCTCCCACTCCCCCCCCGTCCCCCGTCACCCCCCCCACATGCTTTTCCCACTGTGGATCCCAGGACACGCATGTGCAAGGTTGGGCACAGCCACATTTCCACACAGGCCAGCATCCCAACCGATCCACCACCTGCCTTGTCTTGGGAACCTCCACACCCAACTTGTGCTGCGTTACCTGGACCCCGGGCCCCGAAGATGGCTCCATGAGCAAAGAGGGGCAGCGGTGGAGCCCGAAAATGGGTTGTCACTAAGGAAACTTTGGTGTGAAAGGGAAACTGCTTCCTCCCGCCCCGCGCTGGGGCAGGAAGCGCACAGTCATGATGGGGGAGGGCGGCTGCTTCCTCCGAGTAGACCGCAGGGATGTTGGGGTGGGGGGGGGAGAGGCACCCAGGGCCAGGCAAGAGAAGCTGCTGAAGGGGGATCTAGCAGGGCACAGGGGGATGGGGCCAGGAACATCGAAGGGGTGGGGTCACTATTCTGGGTGGAGCCAGTTTTGCAGGCTTAGAAGTGTGGGGTTCACATACTTGGGGTTCCCACACATGATATTCTGATTTCAGCCCCTGGGGCTACAATGGAAGATGTACCCCCACCAGACACACCCATACTGTGCAGATCTCTGCTCCAAAGCACAGCTGAAGAAATCTTGGCCCTAAGGGGCTGGGAAGGTGGCTCAGTGGTAGAGTGCTTGCCTTGCATGCCTGAGGCCCTGGGTTCGATTCCTCCAGCACCACATAAGCAGAAAAAGCCAGAAGTGGTGCTATGGCTCAACCAGTAGGTACAGCGCTAGCTGAAGAGCTGAGGAACTGCACTCAGGCTCAGAGGTCGAGCCCCATGACCAACAACAAAAACAACAAAATCTTTGCTTAGCTCTAATGTGCCCTAATCTAAAGTCATGGGGGGTAGATAGATAGACCCTGGATCTATATTAGATCCTCCTTCCCTCCCCAATTCCCTGCTGGGGAACTCCCACCAGTAGAGTCCAGAAGGCAGTTTCTTTTCCCAGAATCCTTTTGGGGGACAAGGAATGCATGGAGCACAGGATGAAAGGGAAAGGTCAGCAGTCAATAGGCCTTAGGAGGCTCCCAGGGGTCATGAACTGTATACCTTAGGACTTCCAGAATGGTGTGTGTGTGTGTGTGTGTGTGTGTGTGTGTGTGTCCCAGTTCTAGAGTTTGAACTCAGGACCTGAACATTGTCCCTATTTTTTGCTCAAGGCTAGCACTCTACCACTTTCAGCCACAGCGCCACTTCTGGTTTTCTAGTGGTTCACTGGAGATAAGAATTTTATGGACTTTCCTTCCCCGGGCTGGCTTTGAACCATGATCCTCAGATCTCAGCCTCCTGAGTAGCTATGATGACAGGTGTGAGCCACCAATACCTGGAATGGGTGGCTTGGGTATGCTATCTGGGTCTCTGATACTACAGGGCCAGACTGGTATGAACCCCCAGTGGATCATGGGCAGGCCTTCTAGCAACCTCTATGTAGCAACCTGTGGTCAAGCACTGTGGATTTTATCAGGAACCCAAAGCCCAGGCAACCTATAGTCACCAAAGAGCAGGCCATACTGAGGTAGGATAGACCTAGAGAAAATAAGGTGAATGGCAGCCAGGAATTCAGAAACTGTGTGTTTAGAAACATAGTGCTACTTCTTAGTTTTAGCCTTTATACTCCTTCATGAAATGCAGTATTAACACA